GCCGTGCTACTTTGAATAGGCATCAACCTCATTTGGAGCATCCCAGCATGGGAAATGGAGTTCCACAGATTGTTAATGTAACACACCTCCCTAGCCACCCTTAGTCATAGAAGAGTTCGAAAACAAAATTTATAGTAAAGAATTGCAGCGGAAGTAAAAACACTTTTGAAAAAGGAGATCATAAATACCTGTAAAGAAAAACCACTTTAAATATATATATTGAAAAAGTGCCAAAATATTCAAAGTTGTAAAATAAGCCAAGTTAAGCTCATTTATAATTAATTTAAAAGTTTCATACATAAAGCTAATTTACACAAAAATTATATGAGGTAAATTTTTTCTCCAAAGCTTTTGAAAAAAGCAAAAGCTGAGTCATGGTTTTGGTAAGATATCGATCTGCCTCCCTATCGAAAACACGAGGCCCTAGCTTGTACATACAACGAGCATGTGAGTCCTGTGCCAAAAGCTCCTAAACTGAGATGTTGCTATCTCAATCTACTGATTTGAAATAGGGGGATTTTATGAACTCACAGCCCAGTAAGTAATAAGCTTAAGCTATAAACTTGGGTTCTAAGACTCTTAGACCTATCCACACAAAGAACATAAGACACAACGAAATCAAATCACATAATATTGTAATTCTCAAATCATAAGCACAAATGTCTAAATTGAATTCATATACTAAAATCCTATGCTCACAAATATGATGTCACAAGCGCAATGCATAAAATCGAAAATCACACAATGCTATGGAGTCCACTGAGGTGTGCTAACAACACTGTACCAGAGTTAATCACAGTACTAACTCTACTGTGCAGAGGTCCACTAAATACCCCAAAGGGTCCACTGAATACCCCAAACTTTAAGCTTAGGTCCACTTACTCCATAGCCACACACATACGCATGTCAAACAAATTCATAATATGTCCAAAATAATATTAGGACTTCCTATTGAAAGATATCAAAGCATAATTCATGTATAGTAATCGTGAACAGTAATCATGAACAGTAATTCACAAATAATACAATTTCCTTCTAATTTCTGCAGCAAAAATCGTACCCAAATCAAACAATAGAAATGACTAACTCACTATCTTTGTTATGTAAGCTTCAAAATTAAGGATATTTCTAATAAAAATTTAATACCCAAAAATCTTATAAACCAAAAGATTAAAGTCAAATCTCATCAATTTAAACTACCCAAAACTCTAAACCAAAATTCATAACTAAAACTTATACTTACCTAACAAAAGCACCTTAACCTTGGTTGGAGAAAGGAGGAAGAAAGGATGTAGGTGGTAGAGGAAGGCATAGGAAAACAAAATGGGGCTTTTGGGAGGCTTCTGGAGGCTTATCTAAGCTTCCACCGACAAAGACCAAAAAAACTTGGTTGGGAAAATGCCATGTGGTAAGTAAAATTGGAATAATTGAGTTATGGTCATTCAATTTCTACCAAATTTTACTTAAAACTCTTAAACTTTAAATTTAATCAATTTAATCCTTAAAACTATAAACTAAAAGACACTAATTTTTAAATTATTCACTATGGTATGTGGGGTGGTACAGGTAATCCCTGTGCTGAGTGCCCCCAGGTCGGGAAAATTTTATGATGAGTGCAGATGCCAAATTGCACATTGGAATGTACCCCAAAGATCAAACTGATGCCCGATCTCCTTACTATGAAACACAGAGTCATGAAAGAGGCTGGGTTCTGCCACACCAATTAAACCCTCGTGTTGAGGATACCAGAAATCCTGCACCTGGAGCTGGAAG